TGCGAGCTCAAGTTAAACGTAAGATTAGAAGATGGCGCCTCTTTGAAGTGGAAAGTGAGCGCCTAGCATGCACGCACTAGAGTATGGTCGGAATCCAGGCATGTGCTCCAAATTAACCGACAGTCTTAAACTGATGTGTGCCATCTGTAGCTGATATTGATATGGTCAATTTGGGTCCAGGTCATTGAGGAGTTCAGTTGGCGCCAGGCGACACGATGTGAACGTTTTTTGCTGGAAAATAGTGCTGATAAAGGTTGTGTCCGGCGCACAGGTGCAGAAGTTGATCACAACTGTCTGTTCAGCATGCGTCGACTCCGAAGAGCCCTCCCAGGTTTTGTTCATAATCTGGAAGATGACCCACTTGGGCATCCAAGTCACTAGCAACAACCACAATGCTAATATCCTTCGCCATGCGAAGAAAAAATGAAAGATGGTGGTAGAAATCGTCTTTGGTATCCTCCGAAAAGCAGTCAGTAAGAGCATAGACAGAGGCGATGAAAAGACAAGCAATAGAGGTTCGAAGTCGAACCGCATACATGCGGCTGTTCACCGGTATCCAGTTGAGAAGATTAACTACAGCATGTCAGCTGAGGGTGATACCAAGACCCTAAATACCTTGAGCCAGACTCGGTGTCACCAGAGACGAGAAAAGTGTAGTCATCGTCCTCAGGTTCAGAACCATGGAGTCGAAGATTCGTTTCAACGCTGTTATCTTGTATGCGTGTTTGGGAGCCACAGCACACATCAATAGCAAAAGAGTGAGAGTCGGTGCAAGCTGTTGACCGATCTGATATAAAGTGCGGTTAAAAGAACCAATGTGAAATGAGACTTGTGGTTTGATGGAAGAGCTACATGTACAGATGGCAGCAGCAGCGTGATCAGCGGGAGATTCTTACTCAATAGACGGGGAAGAAGAGGGTAAAGGGGAGAAAAACAGGAAGAAAAAAGGGAGTATTATCGAGACGGCAGATGATACTCTCTGGAGGCCAATTCCAAGAGAGGAGTTTTGTTTGAAGTGCACTAATTCTGGCCTTTGGCTCGAAAACCTGACACACAAGGCCGTAGGGAGCAAGTAAAGCTGGGGAGTGTGATTGTAGAGACCAGCTGGGGTCAGTACGAGGCGTCACACAGCCTATGAAGATTTAGTACAATACGTGTTTTATGATCGTATTACGTGACGTACCTACGACCACGGCCAGCCGCAGGTGGAAGTTGGCGGGTTTGTACCAATTTGACCAGGGGTTGTCTGGCTTTCGGTGGGCGGTAGCAAACAATGGAGCAACTGGCGGTGGGCTCTCACCGTTAGAGACCATGCGTGGCGCTCGTGCTCTACGCCAACCGAACAGTGATTTTATAACCCGTAAACCTGTTGTTTACTAAGGTTAGATTTTAAGGGAAGAGGGCCTTAGACCTCTCCATAACCTCTGAAGAGGATAGGATTGTGAGTTAATTTGATCCATAACCATTGAACTGTCTGGTATGAGTGGCACTGTGAGCACTAATAAAGTGCCACTCAGTGTAGCTCAATGGGTCACGGAGGTAAGCAAACCATCGTGCTAAGTTAAGGTCCAGACTCGTAAATCAAATCCCAAGTTGCCACAACGCAATGTATGTAAGAGTAAATACAATGTTTAAAGTAACCGATATTTGACCGAAATCGGTATCATTAGGACGTCCAGGGCCAAACGAATCGGTTAATGGACAGTAGTCTACCGTACACAAGCGCCGACATCGTATACGACTTTATTAGAAACATCTTTTAGGTTATGAACAGGGGGGTCTTAAATGTGCATCAGATAACGCGATCTTATATTCAGATATATTACGCGATTTCCTCTTTCAATTTCTTGTTATCTAAGCGAGTGGATGTTCGAACACTTGCAAATGGGGCGACTGGCAACCTACTCGTACAGAGATTCGAGTTCAAGTGGGACTGGAACGAAAGGATTATCTCGTGAGTGTTCTTTCTTTAGCGAGTCGTTGAACCAAAAGTTGGCAGACTTTGAAATACAGATGGACCTAAAACGAAGACCGCGACACACCCTGTCCAACCAATTAATGCCCGCGTATTCTGCCCTCGCAGTTCCTGCTGGGCCGGTTACATTAAGTAAGAAGGAGAGAAAAGTACTCAGAAAGAAGAGAAAGAGTAAAGAGCTAAACAAGTAGAATATCAAGATATCTGAGTCATTAAAAAAGTACTAAAAACTGAGGGTGAGTCAGTTAAGAAAAAGGAAAGGTTTGGTGTCGACACCCAAGAGCGTCGGGTTAGCGCAAAACCCTTAACCGTAGGTTCCCTAACCACATGATCTGAAAGCGAATTCCAGCGATCTATAACGGCGCGACAGGGGTATAAAGTGCAGTGGTGGTAGTCGACAAACGCAGGACGAATACTGTGTACAGGCCAATGTTTGCCACTGTCGTGAAATATAAGCATAGGGAAAATACCGGCGTTGACATATAACGCGCGGCAGGTTTGGATCCAGTAGGCTTGTTTCCATCATAAATGAATAAGAAATACTGCGTCCAGGCTTATCCGCCCCGACTCCTCCGGGACAAAATGGAGTTAGAGAGGGTTTTAAGGGTGAGTACTAGGTTAGTCGAGGGATTACGACGGACGTAACCCGAGCGTCTAGTTAGTTTGGGAATACAATCAATGCACTACCGAAGTCTTAGAGAAGACCTAATCCTAACCTACCGTATCTTAACTAAGAAGGTTGGTCTAGATTTATCTTGGCCATTCAGTCCCGCTGGATTGTCTCTACTATGTGATCATTCCTTGAAGCTGGACAAAGCGCGGTCCGATCGGATTAGGGCGGAAATCCGACTGTCACGCAGAGTAATCGAGCGCTGGAACATGCTTCCCGAAAGTGTCATCAGTGAATCTACGGTTAAGGGGTTGGAGCGGAAACTTGACGCTATTGTGTGGCAACACGAAACCTTCCCGTTTTCCTGACTAATTCGCACCTTGATACTTCGATTTTCTTTACTTTTCTTCATGCATTGCTATTATTTTCTTATTAAAAGTGCACTTCCTTATTCTGTACCTTCGATTTCTCTTCCTATCCTTTGCTTACTTCACGTTACTGCCACAGCAGGGACTGCTAGGGCAGGAAACATGGGGATTAACTGGCTGGCCAATGTGCGATACGGGTGTTTCGTTTCAGATTTATCAATAACTCTGAGCACTTAATCAATTCCTGACTCAACGATCCACCCAAGATGGAACACGGGATATCCTATCGCTCCAGTCCTACCGGAACACAGTCTACTTAGAGCAGAGCAGCATGGTTTCATTAAAAAGAAGTCGTGCCTCACTAATCTACTGTGCTTCCTCGATGAGATTACTCGATGTCTTGACGACGGGATTCCGGTAGAGGTCTGCTATCTTGACTTTAGCAAGGGTTTCAACTCAGTAAATCACCGTTTCCTACTTGAAAAATTAGCATGGTTCGGAGTACATCCTAGACTTCTGTCTTGGGTGTCAGAATTCTTATGTGGGAGAACGTTTCGAGTTAGAATCGGTGATGTGAGTTCTAGTGTGGGCGTGGCCTACAGTGGAGTACCCCAAGGATCGGTGCTAGGTCCACTTTTGTTTCTTATGTTTATAAACGACTTGGCTCCTCTTATTGAAGACCCCTGTTACATCTTTGCGGATGACTTGAAGCTAGTCAGCAGGGGCAACCGTGCAACACTGGCCAAGGATATCATCAGTGTGGCAAACTGGTCGAAGCAATGGGACTTGCCCTTGAATGCAAGCAAGTGCCAAATTCTGACCACTAGTAGAGACGTACTTGCAGTTCAGACTTCCTTTGGGCCCTTCCCCTTACAATGCACTACCCAGGCACGCGATTTAGGAGTCATCATGACGAGCAGCTTCAAGCCTTCGATGCAATGTCGATACGCCGCCAACAAAGCGCGACGAGAATTGTTTCGCCTCAGGAGGGCTCTGTGTAATACCAAGCCAGAAGTGTTCCTGCCACTATACAAAGCAGTGGTTAGGCCACACTTAGAGTATTGTGTTCAAGCTTGGTCGCCCTATCTCCGTGATGATGTTCTTTGCCTGGAGAAGATTCAAAGACTAGCAACCAGGATGGTTGAAGGTCAACGGGGAAAGCCGTATGAAGATCGCATAAAGAGCCTGGGGTTGTTTTCCCTTGAACGGCGTAGACAGAGGCGATCTGATAGAAACATTTAAGATCATGAAGGGCTTCAGTGCCATCGTGCCTCTGATTTATTTGAGCTGGCTGATTCTGAACGCTTGCGTGGACATCGCTTGAAGCTCAAACAACAGAGAGCTAGACTGAACGTCAGGGCTAAGTTCTTCTCAAATCGTGTAGTGCGCAACTGGAATAAGTTGCCTTCGGAACTAATGGATTGTGAGACTGTGGTTGCCTTCAAAGCAGGCCTAGACAGGTGCTGGCCGCGTATTTTTCCGGAATTAATATAATCCTATCCAATTTATTCGCATTGTTATCCGATGTTGATCCTTGTAAAAGCAAAGATTGCTCTCGCTTTTGCTTCATTTCTTTTTGCAGAGGCAAGGAGAGGCGATCAAAAGTCGAAGTGCCGGGGGCTCTGGTTCGCTTACCGGTACAAGAAGCTGGACGCTCGTTAGGCGGAAGCCTGTATCGTCCACGGATTTTGACCTGACCTGACCTGAACTTAAGGTTTGGGTTTAAACCAAACAACGGCTAGGATAGCGTATGAGAGGAGAAAGAAAAAGCCGAGCGTATAAGTATTACTGGCCTTACTTTGCCTATAGGTATGAACCTTACTTTTAACACAGACCACCGGCATCACGAAACACAAACGTGTGTTCACCGCATCGTGAGTAACCGAACTGGAGACTGGGTGCAACTAGTCGTAGTGTTACATCAGTCTGCAAACTAAAAAATAGTAGTTTGTAAACGCCTTCAGTTTGCAAACGCAATCAAATTACCCACGAATTAAAGCCAGCAATTTTTACAACAACCTTTTAACATTTGGGTTTGGAATTGTAGAATGCAGACAAGGGAGAACCACAAGGATTGAGACGTAAGTTCTATTACGTAACACGTAGGCTCTATAAGAAAGAATCAGTAACGTAGGAAGGGATGAAAGAAAAGTTACAGTCAACTGTTCGCTTCAGGTTTCTGTCCTTCTTCAATAATGGCGCAGGAGTGTCTTTCTGAAATGCAGACAGAAAAGTTGTCGTCAGAGCAACGATTTAAATTCAACCACGCGCCGAACTAGTTTCGATCACTCTTTACACTGCACCCCTTCTATATAGGCAACGTCCCCGTTGCCACACCAAAGCCCCCTTGAGCTGGTACTTCAACTTCGGTGGCTACTTCTATCGGTGGCTCATTGTGATGTTCCTCATCCGAATGCTCAGATTCGATATGGAAAGGTTTAAGCCGATTAAAGTGTACGACCATGGACGGCCCAACGGCGTTCTTTGGGTCCCTAACCACACAAGTCAGATCAGAAATTATTCGGTCTACCACGTAGGGGCCAGCCCACTCACGATGCAGTTTCGCTGGTATTCCGGATACCGGTGCCTGATGCAAATATACGAGGTCGCCTGCTTTCAACGGGACACCGAAGACCTTCTTGTCGTAGTATTCCTTCTGTCGCCGTTGAGCGTTCGCCAAATGGATGCGTGCCGCTTCGTGTGTGCGTCGAACGGAGTCGAGGAGTTTGCTGACATATTCAACAACCGACGGGTATACCTGTTGTGATCTCGGTAATCGGACATCCGAGGGCAACCGAACTTCTCTACCCGTCCACATAAACGACGGCGTTTGTCCGGTAGAAGAGTGGACCGTACTGCGATAGGCCAATAAGCATTTAGGCAATAACGTATCCCACTCGTAAATGTTCTGGTCCACGAACGCCTTCAAGAGTGACTTCAACGACCGATTCGTACGTTCAACTTGTCCGTTCCCTTGTGGATGGTAGGCCGTCGTTCGCGTTTTATCAATACCGAGTACTCTGCACATCTCCTGGACCAGTGAGCTTTCGAAACATGATCCCCTATCGGAATGCAATTGCCCAGGCGCTCCCCATTGGCAAACCCAGTGGTTAATCATCGCTGTTGCCACAGTGAGAGTATCAGCCTGTGTGATTGGCACGGCTTCGCACCATTTGGTGAAGTAGTCTACCATGACTAGAATGTAGCGATTCCCTCTCGGCGTTTCCGGTAGTGGACCAACAAGGTCTACTCCAACTATTTCATTCGGGTAACCTGCTGTCATGGATTGTAATGGTGCCCTATGAGCAATAGGCGGATTTTTGAACGTCGCGCATCTTTCGCAAGTTTGGCAGAAGTTGACAATGTCTCTTCGTTGGTGCGTCCACCAAAATCGTTGACGCGCCGCCGATTCGAGTTTATTGATTCCAGCGTGTCCCAGCTGTTGGTGCAGTTCCGACAGCACTTCGGTAACTAACGCCTGGGGAACAACAATCCTCCTCAGGTACGTGGGGCCGAAATCGAAGACCAACACACCCTCTTTGATGGCGAGTTTATCCCACATCGCCCACAAGCACCGAGCTTCGTAGCTTTTCCCTTCCATTTCTTTCGGAGCTGGTTTGTCCCTTCCCGAGCGCCGCGCATGGTAGATGAGTGATATGTCGGGGTCCGAAGCCTGTGCCTCTTGCCAACGACCATACTCGGCTTTCTGTAGGTTGACTAGCGCTACGTGTTGCGTAATGCAGGAAGGACAGTTTCCGTGATCTCGAGACGGAATCCTCGATAGCGCGTCCGCGTTGCCGTGTAGTTTCCCAGGCCGATGGTGACATTCGAACTCATACTCCTGTAGTTGCTCCTGCCATCGAGCAATCTGCCCCTCAGGGTCCCTGAAGTTTTGCAACCACCTGAGTGATTGGTGATCAGTCCGTACTAAGAATTTTCTTCCTAGAAGGTAGTGTCGATTTTGTTTTACGAAAAACACCAACGCCAACATTTCTTTCCTTGTCGTACAGTAATTTCTTTCTCTTGACGTAAGGCTTCTACTACTGTACGACACCACTCGTTCTATTCCGTCCTGCCCCTTCTGTGACAAAACAGCTCCAATCGCCTGGTCGCTCGCGTCCGTGTCTAGAATAAACTCCCCAGCATTTGGTGACAGATCGGGGAAAACCAACACCGGAGCTTCACAAAGGGATTCTCGTAATCGATCGAAGGAATTTCGACACTCAACGGTCCATTCGAAGGTTTTACCTTTCTGTAACAAGGTATTCAAAGGCGCAGCGATCTCTGACAACCCTTTCACGAATCGCCGATAGTATGAGGCTAACCCTAGAAAACTGCGTAGTTCATCAACGTTGGCCGGGGTTGGCCATAATCTCACTTGCTCCGTCTTACGTGGGTCAGTACGAATCCCCATCCCCGAAATGACGTGCCCAAGATACGTTACCTTGGTCTGTAGTAAATGGCACTTCGTGGGCTGGAGTTTGAGGCCCACATTTACTAGGCGTGTTAGCACCTCCGCCAAGTTGTTTAGGTGTTCGTCTTTTGTTTTTCCGTGTACAATGACATCGTCCAGGTAAACGAGACACTTGTGGGGCATCAATTCGTGTAACACTTTCTGCATCAGTCGTTGAAAAGTCGCAGGGGCGTTAGAGAGGCCAAAAGGCATGGTCTGGAACTCATAAAAACCTGATGGTACTACAAACGCCGTCTTCGCTCTGTCGCTCTCCTCCACTTCTACTTGCCAGTAGCCGGAAGCCAAATCTAGCGTACTGAAATAAACTGATCCTCCTAGTGCGTCAAATAGATCATCGATCCTGGGAAGGGGAAAAGCGTCTTTTCGAGTAATCTCATTTAATCGTCTATAGTCGACACATAGGCGGAAACCACCATCCTTCTTTTTCACTAGAACAACCGGGGCTGCCCATGGTGAAGTCGAGGGCCGTATTACCTCCTTTTCTATCATGTCATCTATGAGCTTTTGCAATTCAGTCTGCCAATGTAATGGTATGCGTCTTGGGGGGATTTTAATCGGGATTGCATCCCCGGTGTCGATACGGTGTTTCACGAGATTGGTTCGACCCAAGTCGGTACTGCGCCATGCAAATGCGTCTGAGTGTTTGCGCAACACGTCTTTGAGCCGCTTCAGTGTCTGCTCATCCGTGACTCTGTCGAGTGAGCGAATAAAGGCGTTAATGTACTTTTCACTCTCTAAGGTGTCCTCATAGGTTGTAGATGCTTCCAAAGCACCACCTCCACAGGGTTTTAACAAAACTGTACAGTTATCGGTGATTAGTTGGCACCTGTCCAGATCTAATCGACACTTCAACCGGCGTAACAGATCCATCCCAACAATAACAGCAAACGGAATTTTGTCCGCAACGATAAACTCATGGGTGAAACTCTGTTTCGCGACGTCAACTTGTGCGGTTAGGGATCCCCGAACGGACAAGAATTCTCCATTGGCGGCAATTAGTCGACAGCGACAAGGCGCGTATACATGTTCTGCTAGCTGATTAGTCAAACTAGATCTGATTAGGCTCTTACATGCACCTGTGTCGATGAGACCTATCAATGGAACCCCTGCGATCTGTAATTCTATTGCTAACGCTGAATCTGTGGTCGACGCACAAACAATGGTTGGTATAGAGTGTGAATGCAATCGGTGCCACTCACCTGGGCGTCCGTTATTGTAGCGAGGTAGACCATGATTCGGAATTGGTCGGCGGGGCCGCCGGAAGTACGACTGCACTGGAGCTCGCGAATAATCCCCTCGAAACGGGACGCGATTCCAATTTCTTCGGTATGGTGGTTGGAGTCTAGCGGGGCGGTGTCGATTCAGTACGCAGCATGTTTCCAGGGGGCCCATGGACTCGTCGACTTGCTCTAATTGGTCTGCCACTTTTAAGGCTGACTGAAGACACGTAGGTCGTCGTAACCGGAACTCTCTTTTTACCGAGGGCGTCTGGATGCCCTCGAGCAACTGCTCTAACACTCGCTTGTCCTGTTGTTCCGGCGGTTCATCTGTGTAGGCATTTATCGCCATCCTCCGCAACTCGCGAACGAATGTTTCTACGTCTTCTCCCGGTCTCTGATACCGGGCATGGAAAACTCTGCGCAGTTCATCGGGCAGGCCACGCCGATCTAAGATGCGACGAAGGGCAGAGAAGGTTTCCGTAGTGACTTCTCCCTCTAACACTTTGCTATCCGTAACTTTGTCGAATGCCTCTCCTGCCAGCAGGCCCATGATCACCGTACCCCATTGTTGTGCTGGAAAATGCTTGACATACATTTGCACCTGTTTCTCCCATCGGAGATATGGCATGCCTGGAGAAAACTTTTCTGGAGGGGGTAACGGGGGTGTGGAAGGGGCGGGTGTCCGATTTGTTGTCATCTTCTGCATAGTGTCCGACAGGGATTCCAAAGCGGAAGCAATCCTTACCCCCGGATCGGAGGTCACCGGCTGAATTTCACCACCAGACAGTTTACCTGGTTTTGCCATTATCTCTGGATCCTGGCAGGGTCGCCAATTGTAGAATGCAGACAAGGGAGAACCACAAGGATTGAGACGTAAGTTCTATTACGCAACACGTAGGCTCTATAAGAAAGAATCAGTAACGTAGGAAGGGATGAAAGAAAAGTTACAGTCAACTGTTCGCTTCAGGTTTCTGTCCTTCTTCAATAATGGCGCAGGAGTGTCTTTCTGAAATGCAGACAGAAAAGTTGTCGTCAGAGCAACGATTTAAATTAAACCACGCGCCGAACTAGTTTCGATCACTCTTTACAGAATGTAAGGACGTGGTTCGACCTTCAGCCGTCATTTTTGTGTGTCAGCTAGTATCGTGCAGTGCATATTTTTCATTTTGATAGCCGGCACTGTGGTAAAGTATCAAGCTCAATTTAAGTGAGAATCCAGTGAGTGCCTTCCTCTTCGAGCGCATTGTTGAGTCAATATCGGATACGGCGTTCCGAGGTATTGGCAAATGTTAAGCGAAATATCCAAGTAGAATCTTAGTCTACCAATACTGCCTACTTTCTTTGCACTAGCAGTCTCAGGTATGTCAGTTGCGTGCAGTTAGCAAGCGATATGACGACAACTCTAGGGCAAAAATAATGAAAATGTACACGTTATCCTTGACATTGTGAGGTCCGCTTGTGAATGCATGAGCATGATATATTTAAACAGGGATGGTCGAGAATTAGACAAACTCCAGCAAGTTATCCACTAACATAATAGATTTGTGTGTATCTGTATACAGGTGAATGTATGTATGCATTCGAAGCGAATATCAAAGCATCTATTATATGGTCAGCTGAGTGTGCGAAAGCAGCATTCGGGGAAACCGAAGCTTCGTAACCAGGGCATGATCAGGTCATGGGAATCGAAAACGGTTGATCGGCGTGCATGATGCGATTTGAGCACGAAGGCAGTTGCCGAGGAGCAGGAGGAAACCCTCATGTACGTGGAGAAGTGGCAGGTGTGGACGCCACAGGCGCCGATAGGTTGTACGCCGTCGACCTCGAGCACTGTAGCACATGCGAGCGCGGTTGCTTGATTCAAGCTAACCTAGTAGACCATAAAGGAGTCCACTCAAGCTCAACAAAGGAGCGACACATTGTCCCACTGAGAATGTATGCAGAACCGGCGCAGTGTTTGTAGATGCCTTGCAGGGGATTTGTTAACAGGGCGCTTGCATATTGAATCTCTTTATTTCAGGTGGTGGCTTGGCTATACTGACCTAATGCTTTTGTTTCTTATACTATTAAATTCACATGTCGCTTAAGCTAAAGTTAATTAAGATCGATAACATTTTCGAGTTTGTGGCATTTACTTAATGTTTAGTTTCTGACGTTTTGAACCTATCGCGGGTTTGTTGGCAAAAAATAAAGGTTATATGCTCATTTGAAATAGTTAACTCATGATAACAGTATGCATTAATCGAGGGAGTTTACCTGCTATCGGCTTCTCAAGTGATTGGCTGTTGCTCGACATCCCCGGGGTGGCTGCGCTTGCAGGGCATGTTGACAACGTGTCTGCCTGTCAGCTACCCAATACCTCGTCCATACTGGCTCCAAGAGACAGCTATTCGTCGCTGGAATGGACTTATGAATTCAGGCGATCCACCTACAGCGAATTAGGCAGCGATGTTTCTTGCGTGACGAGTCCTATCCGCCAAGCCGCACTGTTGGTAAGCATAGCTTGTGGCAGTTTTAAAGAGAGAACCTTTGCTAAGCGAAAACCCACTACGTGCTGGAACACTGCCGTCGAACTATTGGCTGTAACGGTCTAAACCCGAATAACCCAGCTGGCACAACGTGCACTTGCTCATCTGACCATCCATTTGCATTTGAGGTACTACGACTGCGCAATGGAAACCAAAACGGTACATATTGGGAGGTGAATGTGCGAGTTCCTTAGGAGAAGGGAACTATTTCGTGGGGCCACGTAAAAGCGCATATTTGACTCCTAAACGACTTTTTAAGGGTTTACTTTCTACAATGTCTAGGAACAGGAGCCTCACAGGTGCGAGGCATTGGGGCGATGATACAATACGACCTCGGCTGT